GCGGGGATGCGTTGTGGATGGTGTTCTGCAACGGTTTCTTTCCTAAATCCTCATTTCCAGATCGCATTTTTCCATTAACTGAATTATCATCTGTTGTTTTGATGATCAACATCAGTATTGCATTACTAATCGAGAGCCATTGCAGGCTCATGCGATATGCTATCGACAAATGTCACCCGAATGTGATTTTGGTTCATTACGCAAAATAATGCTGCCGCCGAACTGTCTAACCATTCCAAGAACCGAACTACCAATGGAACAGTTGCTCAACATACACGGATCACACACCGATACATCCTATCAAAATTGTCAGTGTTGCATTGAGCTTTCAGCATGTTAGCTGCTGCTTAAAAGTTTCCCTTCCAGATAACAACAGTCATTTCAAAAGATAATTCGATTTCTTCATGTGAGGCGCATTATTAGCTCACGTCAATCAACTCTTTCACCACAAATTTATCGACAATTCCACAGTTAAATGCGATTGTCCGTGTGAATCGTCACGCTCATTCGATTGCCGTTACTTTTTTTGTTTATTGAAAAGTTAATAAATGTATTGATCGCCCGTTATCTTGATGTCACATTTAGTGTCGTCACCATCAAGAATACAACCCGATGACGTGTCGTCGACGTCCGCAGAAGATCCGAAAGAGAAAGAAGACTCTGAGATTCTACGCATTTACGACGGCAATAGTTCGCTCAGGAATCAAGTTTATCGCACTGCCAGTGTCCCGAAGACAGCCTCCGTGCAATTAATTCGTGTGCGTCACCGTATCTCTTTCCATTGTTCAAATGTTTTGAACTAATAAGTGCTGATTTCATCGATATTGCGAAGTGACTTTATCAGATCTTGTTCGATGGAGTTATCTTCATCAGTTCATTGTAACAACAACGGCAAACAATTCCTTATGAAGGTGATGATTCCGTTTTTAGGATATCGCTCTACGAAGGTTCCATATAACGGACAATCCTGATTCGTATTATGTTACTCAAGTGCTCAGTGATAGTGAGTTTCCTTCTTGTTCTGTATATTGCCCTTCCGATTAACAAGGTTTATTTTATTCTGAGTTGAGTGAAATGGATCTTCAAATACTCAAAAGCTACACATATCGCATTGACGAATGACGGTTTTCGTTCAGTCAAACCAACACATTACTAGTAAATTTATGGACTTTTGAAGTTTATGTTCAGATGGGGAAGAAGAGCTGTTGGAAGATCCAGTCCCAATGCGCAACGTGAAACGACCTGAAGGTCGACGAGCCCAAATTTTCCTCAGATACAAAGATGATCCCGAGAAAGCGATTGTAAAACTTTACGGTGGTTGGTTAAGGTAAGCAAGTTGAGTGTTATCAGTTGTAGAAGATTAACTCAACTATCTTCATCGCATTATGTTTGGTATGAGTAAGAATGATGGTGATTAATCGCTTTCAGTGTTTTGTATATGCAACTGGTAATCATCAACTTTTCGGGAGAAAGCAAAGTGAAAATTGAACACTCCGAAAAACAAAACAGTGCAATGAAACGTGCAATTTGAACCAGTCAAAACATTCGATTGAATTGAAATGTACTCAGATCCATTTCGAAAGCTCTTCCCATGTGAATGAGGCTATATTTTTCTATACCTGTACAGGTGAAATCTAAAATTGAAGTGGAAATAATTTTGCAGGGTACCGGTAACATTCTGTACTTTGACGGTAACCAAAGAAACGCTTGTACAAGATGCGATTGCGGAAGCACTGGATCGTTTCGGTTTGGAGCGTTCCACGGCAAATCGCTACAATCTCATTGAAGTATCGCTGGATAGAGGTGTTGCGGAAAGAACCGCGAATCCACAAGAAAACATGCTTCAACTTGTTCGAAATCTTAGGAAGGTTCGTCATGCAGAACCCACATTTATCACGCAAAATCTCTGCGGATAAGCACCGTATTCCTGCAGATTGTTTGAAACAATTGTTGTGCTCATTGCAATTGGTAATGAATGTTGCAGAAAAGGTGTAAGTGTGTTGAAAATTCAGGACTCATTAAGACGATATCATGTTGTTCGGTTCTACATTCAAGAGAAAGAAGACCCTCATGACCATGCGGTCTTCGTCGGTAATCTGCCACTTTCGTTAGCACAACGACAATACGAAAGGATATTGCTACGATTACTTGGTGCGAAGGGTGAGTCAGTCATTTCACGTTCTTATTGCCCATAGCATTCGAAAAGTTCATTCAAAAGGTCGACTTCACTCGAAGTCGGTGAACGTAAATCCCTTTTGCGAATAGTCAAAGCCGGGTGAACTGGCACTGAAGCGGATATGACGAAGGATGGATTCATTATCAGTGTTTGGATTCATTCGAAGGATGGATTCATTCATTATCAGATGGATTCATTATCAGTGATTCAGTGGTATTTGTAATTGAGTCTTCACAACTGATTATTCAGAGAAGCCATTCACGGCCATTGGACCGATATATTTTGAGTATGGCTCATTGGTGATC